CACTTGGTCACACTTACAAAATGAAACAAAACACCCACCCACACACACACACACACACACACACACACACTCCACAACAAAACACCAAGCTTCTGCCATAATATGCCTCCTATTACTCAAAAGATCAGGAAAATACTAAGTATAAAATTACAGACTTTGAATTGATTCATAAATCAATCTCTGCTTGGTAGTGGTAGAATTTCCTGTTGATCTGTTTCTTTATCATAAGGTTGAAAAGTACCAAAGGTACTATCAAAAGTGTCTGCTACAGAGGCTCCTGATAGCCCCCATGAACTGTGTGGCCTGCAGTTTGGTAAATGCTCTGTGGCTCTCCCTGGATGCCATGTGGTGTGGGGGTGAAAGCACACTCTCTGGAAGCCACCTGTCTGGATCAAATCCTGCTTTGCCACTTATGAGGTAGGTGACTTGGACAAGTGACTTATTTCTATGTGTCTCAGTTTCTTCATCTGTAAAATGGAGATGATAATTGTACCTACCACATGGGGTTGTTACAAGGATTCAGTGAGTGAGCACATTTTAAATACTCAGAAACAATGTCTGGAACACGTTAAATATCATGTATTTGCTAGTGTGTTGTTATGTTACAACTGAAAATCACCAGAAGCCGAGAAGTTTCACTGGACATCATTCTTGGGGCAATGGGCAAAGGGAAGAATGTTAGTCACAGTTCATTCAAATGTCACTAGCAGGAAAAGGCCACCTGCTAACACTTAGGAAATTGCTAAATATTTGTTCCTTTGATGCCACAAGTAAGAAACTAGTTAGGCCATTATAGGTAATAACCAACCAAATTGGTTACCAAATTACCAAAGAAACTAGTTAGTCCTAGGCAATTACCACACAATTGCCCTAGATTTTTAAAGTCACTAATCCAAAATAGTGTCTTACAATTCTGAAATCTTCTATAAACATTTGTAGTTGAGTTTTTTCCTTTCAAACTTAAGATGGCCTACCTTGAAAATAAACCCACAAACATTACCTTCCATGCCAAGTGAACTGTACCCAAAGAATGTTATAAACCACCTGCTATGTGAAATCAGTTTATTTTTATCAAGTTTTAGCAATATAACCACTCCCTCAAAATGCTACAAATTTTTATACAGGAGGAATTATTATCTATGGCAAAAACATGATTCCACTTCCTAGAAGCTGGCAGCCTATGAAGCATATATTGTAAATTAAAATTTGGGGGCCAGCCCTGTGGCCAAGTGGTTAAAGTTCCATGTGCTCCACTTCAGGAGCCCAGGTCCGCAGGTTTGGATCCCAGGTGCGGACCTACTCTGCTCATCAGTCATGCTGTGGAGGCATCCCACATACAAAAAATAGAGGAAGAATGGCACAGATGTGAGCTGAGGGTGAATCTTCTTCAAGTGAAAAAAAGGAGGCAACAGATGTTAGTTCAGGACGAATCTTCCTCACACACACATACACAAATTTTACCCTTCATTTACAAACTTTTGCGTTTTCTCACCCTTGGTGAAGTTGTATCTAGTATTATAAGAAAGTCATTTCCATATATGCTCTGCTGATTCTTTTTAAAATAAAAAGAAATTCTGGCAAATCATTTTCATAGAGCAAAACCAAAAGCTACAGACAATAAAAGAGACAAACTCCATATGTTTTAATTATTATAATATATAATTGTCCATCAAGAAAAATCTGAACCTAACAGAATTTAATAATTACTTATTGGACAAGGAGAACTTTGTTCTAAAACATATATAATAAAAATATTTTCTTAAGATCTCTTTATTCTTATTCCTGAGCCAATTTAACACAAAGTTAAATTTTATCAGTTTGACCAAAAAGACACTGTTTACAAAGAAAAACTCTCCCACAAAAAAGCTGATAATTATGTTGCTTGAAGCACCTAATTCAGCATATTTTACTCTAAAATTTTGCTTTCCTAAAAATATGATCAAACTTCTAAATCACCAAATAGTGTTCTGAAATACTCTGAGACTTCTAAACAAATGAAAAGAAAATTTGAGAAAAAAATATTACAAATTTATTTTTATGTACATGATAATTTCCATCTTAGTCTAGTTAATAAGATTCCTGAGTATATTGTTTCTAACTTAAAGTGACAAGACTTCTACTGGAGCTTAATAAGTCAGTCAATCGATTGATTAGTGAACTCTGTCACGACATCCTTACAGTATTGAAGTAACTAATGAAATTCATTACAAGACGATTCCAGAGCAGCTATGTAATCCTGATCAAACACCTAACAGCCTTTGCAAAAAAATGCAAAAAAGGTATTTGAGCGGCTTGGGTAAGTACACCTCTGCACTTCATAAGAACCACAACCGAAGGTGATACAATATGGTAGCTACAATGACTGTAAGTCTCTCAAAAACAATATCATGTTATACATACCAGAAGGTGGACATAATATTTTTGGTAAGTAAATGTGGGATTCATTTATAAGAAAACATGGTTAAATACTCATAACTATAATTGCTATTCCTGTACTTAGTGGCTATATCAGTATAGTCAAAAAGTTTGATTGCAATTGATTTTCCAGGCTGTTCTACATAACTCTGTCAATAGGACACCATTTCTCTTCTGAGACCATGCCTGTGAGTTTCACCAACTATAGACTAAATCTCCAGCTGTGTCAGATACTGTCCATGTCATGTAGCCGCTTTGCCTGAAAGCTCAGATTATAAAGTTTAAGGGAAACACTGTATTTTATATCTTAATTGACCACTGATCGGCCAATGACTGGACTTTTCCTGTAAAAAGCACTGTGTTAGCTTGAGGAGGAATATAAAAATCTGTGATCAGCCCTAACTATCTAGCTGGAAAAACTAGTTAAATGCAGGTGCATTAGGGTGTCCTGGTTGATCCACCTGAGGGTGGACAGATTACAGCTCTTCTGATACCCCTCGCCCACTCCAGGGTTTAATTTGTATGAGTATTTGTTTAGGAAGTGCAGGGGACAGAAAGCTCAGGCGGGGTTCAGAATCCACTTTTACTCACCGTTTATCAGCTATGTGTGTATCTGGGCAAGTAACATTATCTTAAACTCTAATCACGTCTCTCTTTTTGTTCTTTTGCTGAGGAAGATTTGCCCTGAGCTAACGTCTATGCCAATCTTCCTGTATGTTTTTTTTTTTTCGTATGCAGGTTGCCAGCACAGCATGGCCGCTAGCAGAGCGGTGTAGGCCTGCGTTGGGGCATTGAACCTGGACTGCTGAAGCAGAGCATGCTGAACTTAACCACTAGGCCACTGTGGTTGGCCCTAATGTCCTCATTTTTAACATGAGGAAAACAACAGTAAATACTTGATAAAGTTACAAGAATCAAATTAAATAGCAAATGTGAAGTGCTTAGCACAGTGCTGGACACCCAATAAATAAACAACAAATGGTGGCTACTTGAGGAAGTAGTTTCCCTAGCACCGGTTTCCCTTTAGGAGAGTGGAGCTACAGCCTGAAGTTCAAGAAATTGCTTTCAGGTGAACCTTGTGCTATTTGAGGCCCAAAGAGTACTGCCTGTGGCTAAGGGAATAAAGTCAGATTCACGGTTTGGGAGAGGGGTTATCTCCGAACTTCTGCTTGGAACATGGTGAGGTTTGAGGAGTTGTAGTGACCTTTGGCACCACAAGATTTTATGGATTTGAGATATGGATATGAGAGCACCAAGGGAGAAGCAATATTCTCACAAGGGCCTCAGCAGTGAGGCATCTGATCTAGGTGGCTTTTGGGAAGCAAACATCAAGGTGGACAGGAGAGAAGAATATGGGGAAGTGGTCCTGAACAGATCTGGGAAACCAAAAATTCCCAGGAATGACCAGAGCGATTTGGACAGGGGAATGCTATGAACCTCATTTGTATACCAACAGGCCTGGTGTCCATTTGCCTCGTTCATTTACAAATATAATAACACTATGCTAAGGGCAAATGAGCAGCCAAGATAATGGGCATGGTGAGGTTGAGGGGAGGAAGAGATCAATGTGAGCTAGAGCATTCAGAGATCTAGAACATCAACTGGCCCTGGCACACTCGTGGAGCCTGAGTTGTCTATGGAGGGTATTTCAAGCAGGAAAAATGGGTGAGGCCAGGTGTGGAGGGAGCACACGCATGGAGCTTTGGGGACAATGGCTGAAATGGGTGTGTATGTGCCTGCAAGGGAATAGTGGGGGAAAAGTTTAGAAAATTAGCCAGGGGTCATATTTGAATGGACAGGGATTTGATCCTACAGGTGGTAGAGAAGTAGAGGAAAAAGATTTTGATTCAGGAAACCTCTAGTGGAACTAGTGATTGATAAAATAAATCTGGCTTCATGTGTGGTATAGAATAGCAGGAGAAATGTGTAGGGGTATGTGAAAACGGTTGGAAAACTCCACATAGATGTAGCAGGAGAGCAGTGGCAAATAATATCGGATTGGCATAACGTTACTTACCATTTTCTAAAATAGCACTTACAGGGAAAAAAAGAAAGTCTAATTAAGAGAAGTGTGGTCTTCTGTTACTCCTCAATTTCCATTCATAATTTTCTCATGATTACTTCTCCATGCTGCAATGGATATGGCTGTAAGCCACAGCTTGCTTGTTTATAAGTTACATAAGCACTTTTCACGATCCACTGAAATTTCTAGTGTGGTTCTAATGAACCTCTCTCTTTCTTTCTTTTAGGTCTAATTGAGACTTCTGTTTTGGACATATAACTATGTTCCTATAATTTTCTTAGGCATTTCAAACTCCAGATATTGCAACATTTCAAAATAATGGTAGTTATGATAGAACAGTATTATACAGAAATATTGTTTTTTCTCAGAATTCCTGAAAAGTATCTTTCCAATAGGTTTATAAAGCAATTCAACATTTTGCCTACTGCTAACCCCACTGACTGTTGACACAACGCAGTTGGTTTCCATCCCTCTGCCAACATTCAAGTAGGAAAAAAAATTTCATTCAACTTGAGCAATGACTGGGTTTTTTGAGGACATTCTCATAACTATAAATACTCACTTGAGCTCTTCAGCAAGATTCTCAGTAAAAGACCATTATGATTCAGTAGGGTTTCCAGAAGCAGGTTCCAATTACAACCTGGCTGGGAAAAGAGCAGTTTCAATTGACCCTCGGCTGTCAGTCGTCCAGCTGATGGAGTCCTTTCAAAATGCAAGATAAAGATGGCGTAATGAAGTGAATTTATCTATGAAATTAATAGCCTTAAAGTACAATGTAATGCTAACTCCTTTAAATGTCAATTCCTCCCAGATCACTCTGAAAATGCTTTCATGCTTGCTTACTTTAGGGTTGCTCAGGGAAGGAATTATGTTTAATCTCAAATAGCTAAAAGCAAATTAACATTTGGTAGCCTGCCAAATTTAAAACTGATACAAAATAACCATGTCTATATTTCACAGAACTGTCTGTTTTGTTTCATGAGCAAATAAAAATTATTTATGCATTTATTTTGAATGCATTTATTTGTTCATTCACTAAATATATGCGTGCCTACTATGTGCTATTAACTCCTTTCGTTATTCATGGAAAGAAGTTACAGTGGGTTTTGGCTACTTTGTAATTTGCCATGTACTATGATTGCTGATAAAACTAAAGGAATTCAAAGCTTCTGTCAAGGGTCAACCGTAATCTAATTATTTAACATGTAAAGCCTTAAGTCAACATGGAATTATTAGACCCACTCTGACAGTCACACTGCTACCTATTTGGGTAATCATTTCATCAAAGAGAAATAATTCCAAGGCAAATAAGCTTGTACTTGGGAAATTATCATCAGTGTTGAATAGAAAATCAAAATCAGGTCCTCTGCATCAACACATTAATTTACCAATGAACTGGCAGGAGATAAGAAAGTGAAGCAGAAACTGAAAACTGATAACATTATTCACTTTTTCCTTCTAAAATCTCTAAGCTTAGGGGTCAGCCCAGTGGCGCAGCAGTTAAGTTCACACGTTCTGCTTCTTGGCGGCCTGGGGTTCACTGGTTTGGATCCCGGGTGCGGACATGGCACCACTTGGCAAAAGCCATGCTGTGGTAGGCATCCCACGTATAAAGTAGAGGAAGATGGGCACGGATGTTAGCCCAGGGCCAGTCTTCCTCAGCAAAAACAGGGGAATTGGCAGCAGTTAGCTCAGGGCTAATCTTCCTCAAAAAAAAAAAATAAACAAAATAAAATCTCCAAGCTTAGATTGGCTAAAGGTCACCACATCTATAGCCAGCTTACAACCACCACAACAAAAAAGGCAGGAAATGATCAAACTCAATCTGGTTGTGGCCTTGGGAAGGAAAGATGTGACAATAACGTAAAGGTGTGAATGTGGGGACCACACGCCTCAGAATGGAAAAAAGCAGAGCAAAGGGTATTGCTGTGAGAGACAATTTGTAGCATCATTTTCAGATGGAATTTACTGAGCGGAGAACCATACAGTCATTAACATAGTCTAGACCAGTGGTTTTCAAAGCTTGGGCCCTGGACCAGCAGCATCAGCATCACCTGAAAACTTGTTAAAAATGCACATTCCTGGGCCTCAGAAATTCTAGGGGTGGGCCCCAGAAATCTGTGTTTCAGTAAGCCCCCTGCAGGAGAGTCTGATGCACACTAGGGTCTGAGAGCCACTGTGAAAGGCAGCGCTTTCTAGAGCACAGGTCCCAGGGGTGGGCTAGTTGGCATCATCTTTACTGCCTCTGTGCCTTTGTGCCCACACAGGTCCACCTTGGCTGCCGCCCATGAAGTGAACTCCTCATAACCCTTTACTTAGCTTAATCCTACCCATCCTTCGATTTGCAGCAAAAATATCACTTTCTCTGTGGAGCCTTCACTAAAAATTTCCCTCTATAATGGTCTTTCTCACTGTGAATTAAAGCACTTATGGCAAGTTTACACATTTTAGCACTTTATTTCATCAATTAAAGCTTTATCTTTCCACTCAGATTTAAGCCTCATGAGGACACTTTTCTACTCCAAAGCTCCTAGCAGTGACCTGAGCACACTGAAGTGCTCTGTCCATGTTAGCTGATTGACTCATAAGCTCATAAATGCGTAGGCAAACTCTTTTTAAAAAAGAGGATGCTTTGGGGCCAGCCCGGTGGCGCAGCGGTTAAGTTCGCACATTCTGCTTCTCGGTGGCCCAGGGTTCGCAGGTTTGGATCCCGGGTGCGGACGTGGCACCGCTTGGCACGCCATGCTGTGGTAGGCATCCCACATATAAAGTAGAGGAAGATGGGCACGATGTTAGCTCAGGGCCAGGCTTCCTCAGCAAAAAGAGGAGGACTGGCAGTAGTTAGCTCAGGGCTAATATTCCTCAAAAAAAAAAAAAAGAGAGGATGCTTTGCCAAAAGGCTGGTTTAAGCACAAATAAGAGGATCCAAAGATACAAAATGAAATTTCAAAGCACCTCCCCCTTGGCTCGGCTTGGCATTTGGAACATCTCACAACCTTATAATCCACAAAATCCTTCTGCCTCACCTGAACTTTGGATCAACTCAGGCTTTCCATGCAAGACTCTGACAAGACAACTTGAAACAGAGAACCTCCTTGGGCAATTGACGGGGCAGAGTTAGCTAGGCAGTGCTAGCTAGTTAGCCCTGGGTGGGTGGTGAAGAGAGAAGTGGGGAGTTACTTAACTCTCAGGCAGAGGAATCAAGTTTGTCAGTTCAGGAGTTCTGAACTACTGAATTACTTTGCGTATTCCCAGAATGGTCTGGCTCTTGCAGTAGTTCTAAATACAGTACCAAAGAAGAACCCACTAGGTGGGCCCCTTGGCCTGAAATGCTGAAACAGATCCTCACAATGGCTGTCCCTATTTCCATCCTACACCCCACACGCTGGCTTCAAGAAACTTGCCTGGGGTTCAGTAGATGAAAAGCAGCAGTTGATAGTAAGTTGTATATTAAAAGTGACTTAGTTCTTGAATATTTCCTATCTATATATTTTTCTTGAGTTGAATGCTGACTTAAGGATACATTTAATGAACTCAAAGATCCAGTTTGATGGAGTGTAGAAAAGGAGGAAGATTGTTGAGAGATAATCTGAAGAAGGAGGCAGAAGCCAGACCATGGAGGGCCTCATTAGCCAAGATGAGGATTTTGGACCCGCTGAAGAGTTTAAGGCAGACGAGCTTCCTGATCTGGCTGCAGTGTGGAGAATGGATTGGAGGGGGTTAGTGTTTTTGCCCAGCCCTACAGACATGTAATAAAACAAAATAATTTGAATGTCATTTCATACCACTGTATCTGAATACCTGGTTATAAATAAAACTTTTCATTTACCAGATGGGAAACTGTTTGTTGAAATGTACCTCAAATCTTGGATCTTTCAACTTATCACAGATTTTGAAATGTACAGTAGAATGACTCACTATGAAGAAAAATAAAATATTACAAACATTCCTCAATCACCAAGCTCCAAGTAATAAATGCATTGAGGAGTCTGTGTTGGGCATATGGAGAAGCATATGTTCCCTCATCCTTTGAGCTGGTGGAGCTGTGAAAGTGAGATTAGCCTCACAAAAAAATGACAGAAAGGGAAATTATATATATATTTATATATATATATATCAAATATGTACATGTTGAATTCTACTATAACAAAGAAGAGAACAAAAATTTATAAATCTACAGGAACTCATCAATCCTGTACTAAGAGACAGGATAAATTTATGACTGGGTTGTATTAAGCTTATACTCTAATAAAAGTGCTACATTTCTGGAGAATGATTTGGCCTAAAGAACTTTTCAAATCCAGGGAGTAAGGAGTGATACAATAATGGGTTTCAATCATTTTGGTTTATGAAAATATTCAAATATTTTTATAGAATCATCATGGAAAATCTTAGCTGTATCCAGGTGTGGTTACTGTATGAAAACTCATCAAGTAGTTCACTTGTAATTTCTGCAATTTTTTAGTGTTCATATTGCAGTAGAAAGTTAAAAAAAAATCTTAGCTGTATCAGTGCACACCAGCCTGACTTCCAACCACATCGTGCATGAGGCGCAGGGCAAGAGAAGGCTCTGCAGTAGGTTCAGACTGCAAAATGGGCAGCCTTACTGCTCAAGCCACATGACTATGGGATTCACTGATTCTACCATATACGTATCATGTAGAAGCTGTCAGATCAGTAGAACTTTGGAACGGACTCTGAAATGCATAGCTTGGGGATGACACCCAGCAGTGTTGGGGCACTGTCCTTCAAGATTTGATTTTTATTTGAATCAACAGCCATTATATGCTACCATGTGCCTAACAAATAAACTACATGGGTCCATGAGCTAAGGGTGAAAGTAGAAGAGGCCTCTTTCACCAGTGCTTCTGATGATCCACTTGGGGAAATTGTGTTTTCCATTCCCATAACTCCCCATTAGCTCTGTGGGAGTGTAGGTCCTGGTTTCCATGGGGTGAGTTGGGGTGCACACACCTCTACCAGGGGACCATGGAGAATTCCACAAAACCTAATGTTACAGCTGCCATCTGGTCATCTTTGGCTTCCCATGCCAGCAGTCTAGCAGGCAAAGAAAGGAGTTACTATGCTGGCAAGGTAACTAACCCTAATTATCACTGAGGAGCTGGAGTTGCTACTGCCTAAGGGAAGCAGGGAGAAGTTCTGTGACTTAAGAGATTCACCAGGGCATCTCCTGATGCTTGCATGACTGGTAATAACCATAAGCAGGAGACATTCTGAGAAAGGAATGGTAACCACAGGTTTGACCCCTCAGGGATGAAGGGCTCAGTGACGCCACGAGCAAGCAACATAAATAAGCAGATGTGATGGCCAAGGGTGAGGGGAAGCTGGAATAAGTGATAGAGGAATGTAATGAAGATTAGCACTTGCAGACTCAGGAATAATTGCAGCAGGGGATACTCTAGCTTGTCCCACTAACTCTACTGTAAGAAAACTGTTTTTTTCTGAAGAAGTTTTGACCAGCCACCACCTTGAGGAATCAATCATAAGACTCAGAGAACTTAACATGGCTAATGAGTGGATTTCAGTGGTGCAAGGGATAGACCAAAGCAGATGTTGTCAATATCCACATATCCTCTTGCCCTTACCACTCAGTTGGCCGTGGCCTGCCTTTTGCTGTCAAAACCTCTATCTTCCAGCAAGACAGTTTGGAAGTGCCAGCGAATAATAACCCCCAGAGCAGC